ACCTGGGCGGGGCGGCGCGGGCGGCGTCTGGGAATGCTTAGGAATGACCGAGGACGGGTAGCAGTAGCATGTAGGTGGTGATCTGCACCACAGCGCCTCTGTGCACCACACTGCCTGCGTGCACCACGGCGCGTGCGTGCACCACACCGCCTATGTGTACAGGAGCAGCCGCGTGTAACACAGCGCCCGTGAGTGTCACAGTGCTTGCGAGCGCCACAGCTCTCGTGTACACCACAGCGCCCGCGTACACCACATCAGCCGTGTGCAACACAACACCGCACCAGTGTACACCACAATGCCTGCGTGCAGTATAGCGCTTGTGTGCACCACGGCGCCAGCGTGCTCCGCAGCAGCCGTGTGCAACAGAGCACCACTGTTGCATAGAGAATGTTGGAAGGAATCCTTACGACAGAACGGAGCGCCCGTCGATTCCACAGAGAACAATGTTTTTACATTGGATTCGGAAAGGAGTCCTTATGGAAAATGGAGCGCCGCTGGAAGCTACACGTCCTCCCGGGGCCTCCCGCATCATCCTCACTCCTCTCATGTGCGTCCAGGGGGCTCCAGCTGAATTGGCCGTCCGAGAACCAAGTGGACCGATTCAACCGACCTTTCTGCGGTTCACGCTGAAATGCGCACGTGCGCTGTAGTGCCGACCCGCACGACAGGGTGGAAAGGTGAGCGAGGAGGAGGAGGAGAAACAGAAAATGGAAAAGGACGTAGAGGTGGAGGAGGGCGGAGGAGGGTATAATGTCGCATTGTATTATCAACATTCTCTTGGCGTGGCGTTGAGCTGTCCGCCGCAGATCCTCACCGGCATGCTTCTTCTACTTGTCCTGTGCACGCAGGCGGTGTGATGTACACCAGCGCTGCGTTGCACGCGGATGCTGTGGTGTAGACAGGCGCTGTGGTGTGCACGGGCGCTGCGGCGCACGCAAACAGTGTGGTGTACACAAGCGCTGTGTTGCACATGGTTGCTGCGGTGTACACATTCGAGGTGGTGTACACCAGCGCTGTGGTGCACGCGCGCATTGTGGTGTACACAGGCGCTGCGTTGCACACAGCTGTCGCGGTGTACGCAAACGCTGTGGTGTACACGCGCGTTGTGGTGCACGCGACCATTGTGGTGTACACAAGCGCTGTAGGGCAGATCGTCAGTGACATGCTGCTCCTAGCTGGCCCCGGTCATCCTTGAGGCATTCCTTGACGCCGCCTGCGCGGAACGTCATCGGGGGGGTGTGGGGGGGCCGATGACGGCCGCTATCCCGGAAAGCGAAAACGGGGTTTTATGGTGCCAGAGCGACACGGCGGGGGGGGGGCGTTACGTTATACCCCCCCGCCCCCCCCTATAACGCCCACGATCGCCGGAAATAAAAAAAGCGTTCTTACAATATCGTCCATTGTTCGCTGGTTGTAGTCAAGGGGCACCTGGGCAAATCACAACGCTGCCTTGAACGGCCCTAACCGTCTCATTCAAAGGGCCTCACATCGCCGGCTCTGGCTATACCAGTTGCGCTGCCACGCGCGCCGCCGCGCTGGGGCGGGCGCCGGGGGGTGGGGGGGCGCCTGGAAGCTTCTCGGGGACCTTTTGGAGGGCCTCTCGGGGCCTCCTGGGGTGCTCTTGGGTCGGCCAGGAGCGCTCGTTGCCTGCTTGGCGCCTTCGGAGGCCGCCTCGGGGGTCTACCTTGGCCACCTTGGAGACCTCTTGGGGTGCTTCGCTTCGCAAGATAAGGCATGATGCGGTACTGGCCGGTTGCACGACCCGTCTCCCGTCTTTCGCTGCCATTTGAGAGGAGTTCGAATGCGCCCACTCCGACGACGATGTCCTGAGCGGGCCGAAGAAGCAGCAATTGGTGTTCATCGACAGGGATGCCATACAAGGGAGCAGCCGGAGCAGCCAAGACGGCATGAGCGCCAAGACAGGATCGACCAGGCTGGCCAGCCTTTATCCTCCTCCTCCTCCTCCTCCTCCTCCTCCTCCTCCTCCTCCTCCTCCTCACCTCCACTAGTTCGTCCTCTTCCTCGTCACCGGCCTCCTCTTACTCCTCTTGATAAAGCACGTGCCCTCCTCCCTCTTCCCTGCGCCCGTTAATTGAGACAAAAAACGTTTCAGCAGGAAGCGTTGAAGGTTGGCGCATTTTGCGACAGCAGTCGCGAGATTATCAGAACATGCATGTAGAACTGCACAACCTGTCGCACAAGTGGAGGGAAGGTTTGGGGGAGAGGGGTGCGGGGGATTGTCGCGTGGAGGGTGTCTTCCCCGCCCGGTTCCGCCGCCTCCCCGGTCCCTCCTCCGCGCCTGTCCCCCGCCGCTCTCGCGCCTCTCTGCCGTTGCCCGCTCGTCCCTCCTGCCTTCGTGTCCCCCCTCGCCCTCCCCGCGTTTCTCTTGCGCTCGCCCGTCCTCTCCCCTCCTGCTCAGGCATGCCCCGGGAGCGGGCGCTCGCAGCGTCGGCACGGGCCCGCGCGCCGCAGGCTCCCGACACCGCTCCCAACGCACAGGCACGCAAACGGGAGAGGCCACGACGGCCAAGGACGCGACGTGCAACAGGACAGGTGCGCCTCCAAACCACGGGCGGGAGCTGCCCTCTCCCCTCTGCCCGGCTCCCCTTCGCCCTCCTCCCACCGCCCTCCCTCCTTCCCCTTTGCGACATGGCTCCTCCTCTTCGCCCTGTGCCTTGCTCACTTCTGTCCTCCCCCCGTCAGTCTTCCCCTCGCTCGGAGTCCGCCCAGCGTAATGGAGGAGGAGGAGGAGGAGGCCGAGCGCCCCCAAGAAATGGTAAGAAATGCTCCCCCCCACAATCGCCGACGAGCCCCCGCAGTTTGCGGGAGGCCTGCCGCGAGACGCGCAGCACGAGCCACACCCACCGCTTCGGGTTCGTGGGCTTCGTGGGGCCACTCCGACCGATCTGTGAAGCACTTTCCTGGCGGGGGGGGGGCGGGCATTGGGGGGGGGGGGTCGCAGGTCTGCGGGGTCGAGGGCCGCGGAGTCCGAGGGCCCTGATGGAAGGTGCACGAGCAGGGTCGGCTGGGGAGGGTAGAGGAGGAGGAGGAGGAGGAGGAGGAGGAGGAGGACGAGGAGGTGGCGAGGACGGAGGGGACGAGGAGGAGGTGGAGGAGGAGGAGGAGGAGGAGCGGCAAGCCAGTGGAGGAGGAGGAGGAGGGGAGGAGGGAGGAGGAGGCGGAGGAGCTGGAGGAGGGAGGAGGATGTGAAGGAGGAGAGGGAAAGAGGGAAAGAGGAAGGAGACAGAGGCGGAGAAGGGGATGAGGTGGATGGAGGAGGAGTGAAGGAAGAGAAGAGATGAGAAGGAGAAGAGGCGGAGAAGGGTGGGAAGGGAGGGACGGAGGAGGAGGAGAAGCGTGCGAGGAGGAGGAGGAAGAGCAAGAGGAGGAGGAGCATGAAGGAGGAGGAGGAGAAGGAGGAGGTGGAGGAGGTGCAGGAGCAGGAGCAGGAGCAGGCGCAGGAGGAGGAGCAGGAGGAGGAGGAGGAGCGGGCAAGCCAGATGAGGAGGAGGAGCAGGAGGAGGAGGAGGATGAGAAGGAGGAAGAGGAAGAGGAAGAGAAGGAGGAAGAGGAAGAGAAGGAGGTGAGGAGGAGGAGAAGGAGGAGGAGGAAGAGGAAGAGGATGAGAAGGAGGAAGAGGCGGAGAAGGGGAGGAGGAGAGGAGGAGGAGAGGGGTGGAAGAGGGAGGAGGAGGAGGTAGGGAGGGAGGGAGGTGGAAGAGGAGGGGGAGGAGGGAGGATTATGAGTAGAGGAGGAGGAGGAGGAGGAGGAGGAGGAGGAGGAGGAGGAGGAGGAGGAGGAGGAAAAGGGGCAGAAAGCCAGGCCGCGCGGCAGGAGGAGGGGCAGGAGTTGGCTGAGGATGGGCGGGCGTGTGGTGTGGGGTGCAGGGCGCGGTGGGGACCCACCGTGTTGGAGCCGGCGGGGGGTTTGAGGTGGCCCAGCACTGGTTCTGGCGAGCATTGGTGTTTTTGAATTTATCGGCCTCTGGGAGCTGTTTTCGGGCCCCAGGACCGTCGGATCCAGGGTACAAAATTCCACCAGATGCAGTCGGGGGATTGATTTTGAGCGGACTTGGCCTCATCCCGCTATTCCTCAGACCCGGTGGTCGCCTCCAACCAGGGGGCATGGGTTCAGGAGGGATTTGTTGGGGGCGCCAGGGGTCCCAGCGACTCGAGCACCAAGACCAGCGGCAAGGGCATGTTTGTGAGGCACACCAGCACGAATTTTAGCGTGCCGCCGTCCAAGCTAGACGCGGAGAAGGCGCCCGGTGTTCTTGCCTTCCCTTCCCTCCTCGCCGCCATCCCATTTCTCTAAATTCAGATCTGGCTGGTGCTATTGTGGCCTCTCATACGCTGCCGCACAATCGTGCCAAGCACAACCGTCGGTGTTATCAATGCGCTGCCGATGACATTTCGCCGTGCCTGGAAGCACAAACACGTGAATCTTGTGATGCCTTTCTTGTGTGACCACATATCCAGCCTGGTTGCGGACATGCGAATTTACACCAAGAGCCAACGTCGAATTATCATCATAAGGGTGATCAGTTCTGATAATTCTGTTTGTAGTTCAAGTGTCGCCCGAACGCGAGGAAGCCATGATCAGGCGCATGGCCGATGCGAAGGATATGTTGCATCGCGGGGCACCGCGCAATGTCAAACGGATGAAACACAATGGAGCCCGCGCTAATATCGAAATCAACCAGGGTGGCCATACTAGATAACGCAGCGGGCTGCCGCAATGTTGACAACGTCGACGCTAATGGCAGTGAAATGAATTGGACGGATCGTATCAGCATCAGTTTGGCAGAGAGTGGGCTCTCCTCGAAGCAAAATGGTTTTGTTGTTTTCCTGGCCATGCAGACCACAGTACACTTGCGCAGGGGAGAGTTCAGTATAACCAGTGATTCCAAACGTCATCTCGAGCAATCTAGCATGACGGTCGTGCATGGCACGCAACAGTGTTTTCTGTTAATTTGGACTCGCAGCTGGCCGATTCAATCAATGCCAGCTGAAAGCGTACGGTTCAATCATTTCGTCAGGAGGGTTGCGTCGTTCAAGCTTTCACATTTTATCGCGAGCACGTCCAAACTCAAGCTCCTGTTTTCGAGCAGCAAGCCGCACAGGTTCAGCTCACAAAAGACAGCTGGGTAAGGGCAAAGTTAGGAGTACTCCAGCCCAGCTGCTTTAAGTTGGTCGGAGCGAAGCCTCAGACTCGAGAGCGCGTGCCACGCCCTGACGGCGAATCGCACGAATCGAGCAAGCGAAATGGTCACGTGCTTGTTAGCATGGTGTCGAATAGGGGATCAATCCGCTAAGGGTACTGAACAATAGTCCGTGGAAGGGGGGAAGGCGAGAATTAGAGGTGGGAGCATGGTAGTGGGACGGAGAGGGGGAGGGATTCTTTCCGTTGGCCCGAGGTGAAGAGATTCCGGGCTTTCTTGGAGAGCCAGGACTTTCATCCGCTTCTTCAGTGTTTCCGACCATTTGACTTTATGGCCTAGCTGACCAGTCGCATCAGAACTTCAGAGTTTATTTGAGTTCATCGGTGTGTGTAAACTTGTTCAGGAGTTGGTTGATTATTGCACATGTTGTGGCGATAGAGCTGTTCATCCGAACGTGGTGGTTCTTATCCCTCACCGTGTGGCTGACGCACGGGTATCATATACGGGCGCGTCCGCTTGGGAACATTATGGGCAATGTTCTTGAGTTAGCGACATCGTCTGTGTAGGCTCGAGCCGTTGGTAAAGCGAGACAATGTTTGGCCCATGGCGGCACCATTACACATTCATCATATACGAACGCATGTCTCTTCATTCAGGCATCTCAGAGGCATCTTGCTCCCTCACTCTCTCCTTCCTCCTCCTCCTTCTACCAGGCTCCTCCTCGCTCCTCCTCGCTTCTCGATTCCACCTCGCTTCTCGCTCCTCGCTCCTCCTCCTCCTCCTCCTCCTTCTCTTCCTCCTCCTCGTCATCTTCATCATCATCATCATCATCATCATCATCATCATCATCATCATCAGCATCACCATCACCATTACCATTATCATCATCATCACCACGATCCTCCTCCTCCTCCTCCTCCTCGTCATCATCATCATCATTGTCATCATCAGCATCATCATCAGCATCATCATCGTCGCTCCTCGCCAGGGTGGAGTGTCCGTCCAACGATAACAACGAAAACAACGTTATCGTTGTTATCGTTGTTCCCCATATCCAAAGGATGTGGTTCTTGTTATTCTCTGACCGCGCCGGACCCCTCCCCTCCCATCCTCCTCTCTGCACTAGACAATGATGATGAGTGTCATGATGATGACCATGGTATGGTGAGAATATGATGTGAGTATGACGGTGATGGTGAATGATGGATGAATATGATGATGATGATGATGATGATGACGATGATGATGATAATGATGATGATGATAATGATGATGATGATGATGATGATGATGATGATGATGTCGATGCTGCTGATGATGATGATGATGATGATGATGATGATGATGATGATGATGATGATGATGATGATGATGATGATGATGATGAGCAGATGAGCAGATGAGCAGATGAGCAGATGAGCAGATGAGCAGATGAGCAGATGAGCAGATGAGCAGATGAGCAGATGATGAGGATGTCTCGAGCGGTTTGCTGGTTTAAACGCCCTTAAGGGGGGGGCGCCAGGGGGTATCGCACGGCCTCCGTTCGCGCCAAAATGGCGGGGATGTCTCGAGCGGTTTATCTGTTTTGTTTGCATGCTCAGCATCCTCCGTTTTCGGATCAGATGTTGAGGATGTCTCGTGCGAGGCGCCTCCTAACGGGGGGCCGCCAGGGGTATTGCACGGCCTCCGTTCGCGCCCATGTTGCGGGGATGTCTCAGGCGGTTTGCTTGTTTGCATGCTCAACATCCTTCGTTTTCGGAGCAGATTTCGAGGATGTCTCGTGCGAGGCGCTGGTTGTCGCACTCCAAAGGGGCCCAGATTGCGAGGATGTCTTGAGCGGTTTGCTTGTTTTGGTGGCCAGACTTGTGTGCGCTCAGAGCAGATTCTGAGGATGTCTCGAGCGGCTTGCTTGTTTTAGCACTCCTAGGGGGGGTGGGGTCGCCAGGGGTGTTGCACGGTCTCCGTTCGCGCCCAGATTGCGGGGATGTCTCGAGCAGTTTGCGTGTGTCCTGGAAGCGCTTTGAAGGCCTTTTGGCGCCTTTTTGGGATCTCTCTAGATTCTGTTGAATGCCTCTTGGGGCAAGCTTCGGCCATCTTGGCAGCCTTGGTGGCCTTCCTGGGCCTTGCGGGAAGCCTTCGAGAGTTTTGGAAGAGCCTTACGGAGACGTCGGACCGTCCCGGAATCTCGAGAATGGGAATGCACGCAGGTGGGCGTGATGAAGAGGGAGGAGCACAAAAGACTTGGCATGATACCACGCCTCAACGTGCCAGTGGACACGAGGGCGGATGGAGAGCCGCAGGCGTGAAACAGGTTGTGCGAGGGAGGAGCTGCGCAGGGTTGTGCAAGTGTCTTTCCCATGTTCCTCCTCCTCCTCCTCCTCCTCCTCCTCCTCTTCCTCCTCTTCCTCCTCCTCGCGCACCCCGCGCCCGCGCCCGCGCCCGCGCTCGCTCCGCCCAACGTCATGGGGATGGAGGGCCAACGTCTACTGAGATGGGAGCCATAGCAGCATCAACTATGATATGCACTGATGTTATTTGCATCCGAGGCGTGCGTGTTATACTGCCACGTTTCGACCATGGAGTGAGCGGGGTACACGTTGCTCCCCAGGTCCCATCCATTCCGGCATGCCCGTCACGACACGGTTTTCGGTGGCAATGTGTTGTTATTTGAAGATTGGTTTGCAATGGCGCGTGCTTCTTGCGTTGCCCGGAAGCACCGTTGGTGCGACCGCACCTTCATCATTCGTAAGGCCAGGTTAGCGTGAACGTATTCCAGGCAATATCGAGCATCAAAGATCACCAGTCACCAGTTCAGATGTCATGGCATGCACCGACATGGCATCATCGTGTTTGATCGCGCGATGCAGCCCAGTGAACGGCATCTATCCCCAGCTGAGTTTCAAGTGTCGCAGGGGTCTGTCGTTTTTCATGTACCCGGTGGCCGCTTGGTTAGGTACAGTGCTCCCAGCTCCTGGCGTGGCTTTGGCGTGTTGGCCCTCTCGCGTCTCGAACTGGGTTCCGCCGCGCTTCGGGTCCGCAGTTTTCCTGCGGTGAACTTGCGGTGCAGTGCTGATGCGACGTGGATGGTTTAGCTCAGACCCCCCTGTACAGGGGGGACCTCTTCTGCTCGGCCCGGGCCCCGGGCCCCTCTCGCTCGCTCCCTCGGCTGCAGTGCCCGTCCTCGCCCCCGGCTGCGCGCAAACGGGGCACGGCAAGAACTGCCGCCTTACCACCCCTCCCCCCCTCCCCCCACACCCACACACACACACACGCGCACGCACACGCACACGCGGAAGCCACCGCGTAAGGTCGCTATGCCATCTCGCGTACAGTCGGGCCGCTGAAGGGGGAAACCTTTTCGTTGGGGAGGGGCTGAGTGCTCCTTAGTGACTTGTTTTGCAGTTTGTCTTGGGTCTTCATCGGGCTCTCTCTGGGAGTCGAAGCTCAGCTTATGGAAAAGAGTGGCCCCGTTCCTTATGCTGTGTTCCTTCTGACAGCGGCCCGACCTCAGGACCCGCTTCTCCCCGTCGCTCAAGCGTGGACGGCGTGCGGTTTTCACGAGCCCACCGTTCCTCGCTCCTGGGACCCCCCCCCCCTCGCTTCCTCCGATGCCCCCCCCCCCTTGCCGCACCGCCCGCCCCTTGGGCTTCCCACGGCTCCCCTATGGGGCCTGCCGCGCGAGCCCTTCGGGCCCAAACAGGGGGGCCTCGAGACGGGCCGGGGCTGGACCTGAACGCTGTTTTGCTGGACTTCGGCCGTGTTTGGTGTTTCGTCTTGGCAGGGAGGTGCAGGAAGACAAGGAGAGCCGAGCGAAAAACATCACGAAGACAAAACGAAACGCAGCGTTTAGGTCCGGCCCTGAGACGGGCCAGGCGGGCTCCCAGAGGCCGCCAGGACGGCCCAAGAGGGCCCCGAGTCGCTGAGCGAACGCTCCAGGACACCTACGATGGCCCCCAGGCGGCCCCAAGAGGCCGCCAAGACAGCCCAGAGAGGCCTCCAAGAGGCCTCCCAAGAGGGCCCCAGCAGGCCAAAGTCATTGCTTTCCACACGGTTTTTGAAGGATTCTGGGCGTTGTCGCCACTTCGGCTGCCCGACGCTCGCAGACGGCCCTGGAGTGAAGCCCCCAAGACCGCCCCAAGACGTCCCAAGAGGTTTTTAGGAGGGCCCCAAAACAGCCCAAGAGGGCCCCCCCAAGACAGGCCAAGAGACGTCCAAGACGGCCCAAGAGGGCCCCAAGACGGCCTCGCTTGCTGCACCGCGTCTCGTCCGGTTCTCCCGCAGTCCCGCCGTGTGTCGTGCGTGGGTCGATCGGTGTCTGCGCGATGGTTGTGTGTTCCTGCATGCTGGCGTCAGCGGGGCTCGGCCAGCTTGATCGTGCACTACACGTGCAAATGTAGGAAGCATGTTACGTTGCATCTTCGGGGGACCTCGCCTGTCTTCAAAATTGGTGTCTTTTCTTTTGCCCTAGGCGGGCTCGATGCGGCCTCGACGCGGACTTGGTGCGGACTCGACGCGGATTCGACGCGGATTCGACACGGATCCGACGAGGCCGGCATGGATTCGATACGGACTCGACGCGGACAGGGCCGCGACGGGACAGAGAAGGCCCCCCGACGATGCAACACAAAGTATGGTCCTCCGCCTCGGGTGTCGACAGCCACGCCTTCAGCCTGCCCACATCTCCCCCCCCTCCCCCGCCGTCCGTCCCCCTCCCCAGGACCTCAACGTCTCCAGCTGGGGCGGCCACGGCTCGAAGGCCGTGGAGCAGCTCTACTGGGAGGCGCACCAGGAGAGGCGCTGCCACTTCATCAGGTGCACTGCCACTGGCCGCATCGAGCGGGTCGCGCACACTAAACTTTGCGTCACTCCCGCATGTTCATTCTATATGTGCGTCGCCCTCCCAGGGGCGACGCGCGCACCGAGAAATCTTACAGCATATGCGTCGTGGCGGGCGCTTTCTGGCCACATCGCTTGGGAAACGATCTACTACAAGATGGGTGTACTACATGTTCGGGTCGACCGCGCGCCTCCACGGAGGATACATAGTACTAGTACTAGTATGTCTCTCTGCGCTCCATGGAATCCAATCGATCGCAACCATCGTTACCGACATAGGGAATACCATTGTTACCCAACGTCATGGTGATTGCCCGAGCATCATCGGCATCGCTAGCATCACAATCCTCACCGCCAACATCACCGTTACCATCAACACGGTCATCACAACCAATATCGCCGGCAAGGTCGTGCATTTGGTGAAGATAAAGTTGGTCGCAGAGATCTTCGGTGTCGACCACACGTTGTACTCGCGCATGCAGTTCATGCACGACGGCCAGCAGATAGAGCGGAGACAGGTACCGCCAAGACATTCCACATGAAACGTCCTAATTCGGCGGCGAGCTTTGGGGGGAAGTGAGAAGGTGCGGGCCTTCTCAGAAGGCTTGGAAGGCCTCGGGCCTTCTGAGAAGTGTTGTAAGCCTTCCCCGAAGACGCAGAAGTCTTCTCGGAAGGCTGGAGGGCTTCTAAGAAGCCCCGCCGTTCTGAGAAGGCCTCCTCCTGATTGATCATTTGAATTCCTCGCTCGCCGCCGACTAATGCCTCTCCTCCTCTTGCTCTCCTCTTGCTCTCCTCCTCCTCCTCCTCCTCCGTCATCCTTTATCCTCCATATTCTTGTATCTTGTCCCATCCCCGCGCATCCCACCTCAGCGATACAAAGCAGGTACCGCTGACAAAGCTCAGATGGAACATCCCCCCAGACGACGACCAGCACAGCGCAGAGGAGCTGAAGGCTGATAGCTGCCAGCACGCAGAGGACTGGAGAGGGGCCGCCAGGAAGACCCTGGAGGAGCGCCTCGGGCTTAGCGAGAAGTGGCAGGAGAAGTTCCTGGTGGAAGACGTGCACGCCCACACCTTCCACGTCGAGGCGCCCTCTCTTCTCCTCCTCCTCCTCCTTCTCCTCCTCCTCCTCCTCCTCCTCCTCCTCTCCTACTCCCCCTTCCCCTCCCCCTCCTCCTCCTCCTCCTCCTCCCTCCTCTCTCTCTCCTCCTCCTCCTCCCCTCTCCTACTACTACCCTATTCCTTATTAGAATATACTCCTACTCCCCCCTCAGGCCGGCAGATAGGGGGCCCATCTGGGTGGTCCCATCCTAACCTGTAAAAAACAATACAAAATCAACATTTTTCTTTTTTTTTCCTCTCGACATGGACGTCCTGTCGTCCACGGCGATAATCCATTGCAGAAAATACCACAAAGAGCACACGCGCGCGTTCATGTCAGAATCCTACCGAACACCGTGTGTTTGCAAGCATTTCAACATAAAAACATCAAAAACCCAATGCTTTTTCACAAAAAATCTACACATTTCCTGCCCGGGCTCTCTTGCTGAAATCATAGGAAAACCATAGGAATCTTAAGAATTCGGTCAAATCCAGCGATTTCACGTCATCGCGCGGTGCACTCGCGATGCTCTGTCATGCACCCAGGCCGCGAATCCTGTGCAAAAAATACCACGCGGGCGACATGCGCGCGCGTCGCCGCGAGCGCATGCTCAAATCCTTCTAGAGTCGTCGCCGTCATTGGCACCGTCGCATGGACGTCCTGTCGTCCACGTCGCAAAATGCATGGCAGGAATGGGACCCGGCTTACCGGGCCGTTCTCGACACGGCCACCTCTGGCTTCCTGCGGTGTACCGGGCCATTCTCGACTCGTCTGGCAATGCGTGCGCGGCATTCAACACGCGCTCGCCAGTTCCCGTCGGCAACCGCCATCGCGGCCGCATCAGCTGTACCAAACCGGCTGGCCGGTGTGACTTCGGCCCCCAGTTGTGCCAGCTTTGCTTCTTATGTTGTGGGAGGGCGGGTGGGACTGGGCATGCCATGCTTGACTCGCTCGAGCTTGCTAGCTTGACTCCTACTCCTACTCCTACTCCTCCTCCTCCTCCTCCTCCTCCTCCTCCTCCTCCTCCTCCTCCTCCTACTCCTCCTACTACTCCTACTCCTACTCCACCTCCTCCTCCTCCTCCTCCTCCTCCTCCTCCTCTTCCTCCTCCGCCTTCCGCTGCGCAGATGTTCGTGGGATGGCCGTTGCGTCTTAGACCCCTCCTCCTCCGCCTCCTCCTCCCTGCCCTCCTCATCCTCTGCACCCTCATATTCGGATGCAATTCCTTGAAGGTTAAATTCAGCCTCCGCGCTGGTATACGTACTCGTAGTCGAAAGCGGGTTGAATACGGGATAGTCAGCTCAGCTCGGCTTAATCCCGGCTAGTCTGGCTTAATCGGGCTACATCTTGGTTTTTATCCGACCTTTTCTGGCTCAGTGGTTCCTGAATCGGTTTTCATCGTCCCTAACCGTTCTTACGAAGACCTTCCAGCAGCTGCTTCCTCACTGATCCTCCTCGTCCTCCTCCTCCTCCTTCTCCTCCTCCTCCTCCTCCTCCTCTTCCTCCCCCTTCTCCTCCTCACGACCTCTTCCTCCTCTCCTCCTCCTCTCCTCCTCTCCCTTCTCCTCCTCCTCCTACCACGATGTTCCTCCTCCTCCTCTTCTTCTCTTCCTCCTCCTTCTTCCTGTTCCTCCCCCCCCGGCCCCCTCCTCACTCCTCCTCCTCCTCCTCCTCCTCCTCCTCCTCCTCCTCCTCCTCCCCCTCCTCCTCCTCGCCATCTTCCTCCCTGGCCCCCCCCGGCCCTCCTCGCCCTCGCCCTCGCCCTCGCCGCCCTCTCTTGGCCGCCGTGGCCGCCCGCGGCCCAGGAGAACACCAAGAGCGCTGGGTACCCGGGCCCCAGCCCCAGCGCGAGAAGGAGGAGGAGATGGAGGAGGAGGAGGAGGAGGAGGAGGAGGAGGAGGAGGAGGCGGAGGAGGAGGAGATGGAGGAGGAGGAGGAGGAGGAGGAGGAGGAGGAGGAGGAGGAGTAGGAGCAGCAGCAGCAGCAGCAGCAGCAGCAGCAGCAGGAGGAGGAGGAGGAGAAGGAGGAGGAGGGGGGGCTCGTTTCGGTTCCCCCGGTTCGAGTGGATTCGATCTCTGAGAGGAGGAGAAGATAACCATATCTCTGCCCTTCCCTCCTTTTCCCCTTTTTGGGCCTCCTCGGAGGCCCTCGTCGCCACCGCTGGATTCCCCTCGAAACCACCCCGGGAGAGGTCCGGGGGGTGGCGGTATCAGTACCTTTCGGTTTCCCCAATTTCGATGTCTTCCGGTTCCGACTCGGTTCGCTATCGGATTCCGATCTGGGAGCCGGCTTCTTAGCGGAGGCCTACGAGCCTGCCGATTTCCGCCGAGTCGACCTTCCTTGACTCGGCTGCCGAGGTTCGCCGATCCGATTTGTGCCGATTGCAGATCCGACTTGTCGACTCGATGCTGGGCTCTCTTCAAGAGAGCCAAACGCTGTTATCGTGGTCCTCATCGGGGCATCAGTTTGCAGCAAGGAGCATCGCGCGGGCGCTCGCGTTCTCGCGTTCGGTCAGCCGCGATTCGTCCAACGCTGTACTGATCATTTGGCGTTTAAGCGTTAATTTTTTTGAATTACGTTTTGTCGTCAAAAGCTTCGCCAGTAGAATGACATTGCTGACTCTTGCCGCCCGCCGATCGGGACGCTCGGCCGCGCGATCGCTCCACCGCGCGCTCCCGACGCGTGGCGCCCGGCCTCTGGACGCCCGGCGCCGCGGGCGAGACGCCCAGACCTCTCTGGCGATCACGCGTTCGCTTGCCCGGCGTGTGTGTCGGCGTTTGCCTTCGGGGGCCGTCACCGTCGACTGCACGCAAGAGTGACCTTCCGCCGGAGGGGCCCTCGGTGCGGGCCCAGGGGGGCCCCCCCCCCCGATCCCCGAGCGCGGTGCGGCAGTGAGGCCTTGCGCGCCTGTGTTCGGTTCCCCCGCGGCCCCCCAAAAGCCGCGCACCAGAGGTCACTCTTACCCAGGGCCACTCTTGTGTGTATCAGAAGGAAAAAACACACACACACAGAGACACAATTAATCGTCGATTCCCTCGAAAATATAGGAAAATATGGGAAGTGGGGGGGAAGAAACAAAAACAGAAAATATGGGAACATATGGGGAATCCTTTTATTCGTGTGTGTTTATTTGTGTGTCCTGGGGCTCCTTCAGTGTAGTCGACATCAGCCAGGACCGTTCGACCCGTCTCCGCCACCAGCGGGCCCCAGCATCTCCGCCCCACCGTCCCAGCACCCCAGTTGGGGACAGGGCCGCGGGGGGGCACTTATACCAGCCTGGAACACATCCCTGTCCCTATGTTGGGCATCGGCCCATCACGATGGCGATCTCAGGGATTTCCTCCGCTTCTCAGGGTCTATCCCTAAGACTGTCATCTCCTTTTGGCGTGTCAATCTTAGGGATAGGGACAGGTTCGAGGCTGGTGAGGCACCTCTCGTTCGGACTCCTCCTCCTCCTCCTCCTCCTCCTCCTCCTCCGCCTCCTCCTCCTCCTCCTCCTCCTCCTCCTCCTCCTCCTGCCCGGCCCCCGCGCGCGGGCCTCGCCACGCCCTGCGGCCCGAGCCCCCCCGGAGCTCCGACGCCGCCCCTGTTTCCGCAGCGCCGACCCTCAGAGGCTCTCGGCACCGCTCGGACGTGTGCACTGCTCCTCCGGCGAGGACCACCGAGGAGCATCCCCCAGAGATCCAACGCATTGAAAAAATCAAGACGGAGGTTTTTCACAATTTTCGGCCTCAAGGGGCCCTAGCCGGGCCCCGGGACCGTCAAAAAACGACTCAGGATGAAAAACCAGTCCCGGGGAACGGGTCGAGACCTCCGGGGGCCCCGTATTGAAAAAATCACGACGTCGGATCTCTGGGCCTTGATCCTTCGGCGGAAAGGACCACGCACGGAATCGGAAGAA